AAAAGAAGAGCAGCCCATAAAAAGGCACATCTATTGTTCAAAGAAATATATATTTTCAATCTTCAAATTTTTTTAAGTATTTTCAATACATTCCTCGCACTAGCTCATCCAGACCGGATAAGTCCCGAGCTCATATCTCGCGTCAATACTTTGGCCAAGCACTTGACCAAATTACGTTCCACATGAACAAAGGTGGTCTGATCAACCACGTCGCTAGATCGAAAACTTAAAACTTCCACTAGCGCTTGTAAGCCAGGGCCAGACCCGCAACTGATTCTAAGCGTCTAAGTATCCTAAGCCGAGTCCTTCTGGCACACTTAGCCATGTAAAGAATCCTGTCATAAGCCGATCTCAGAGTCGAGGACAAATAAAACAATCTAGATATCCCTAAGTACGTAAGCCGGTCAGACCCTGCCAACTTAAACGAACGACGGTCTAGGCAATCAAAATTCGCTATCGCAGCATGCACAAAAAAATAAACATAAATAAAATCCATTGAAGACTGATAAAGCAAGCAAAACCCGGGCTATCAAAGCCCGAGAAATATTAAAAGAAATAGTCTTTACAAGCATAAAATACTAAGGTCGGCCTCAGTGTTCAAAAAAGAGAAGGACGACAACAATGAGAGCCGAGAAGAGAATCAAGATTGAGCAGTCGAAATGACAGGAAGTCCGTCAAGGGAAGTGAGCTCCTCGCCAATGGCAGCATCCTTCGCCACAATAGCAGGCTCTGTTTCCCCAACTTCTGCTTCCAGATCATCCTCAAGCAAGAGTCGATCCTCTCCTGTTCCTCCGCACTCATTTGGGTCTCATACTGGTCGAAGGGAGCTACGATCTCAGTTTGAGGCGGGTTAACAGGAGCGGCCGCGGCCTCGCCTCGTTGAAGGGTCGAAGATATCCAAGAAGGGGGAGTCATTTTAAAATCATCATCGGCGACTTCCTCAACGTCCAAAGCGTCGAAATCTTTCTCAAACCTTTTAAAGTTCTCATCGAGTTCTTTCAACCGGTCATCCGAGACGTCAGCTCCTCCCTTCTTAAAATCGGCAAGGTAATCCTTGATAGCCATCACTTGGTTCAGCAAGGCACTAAGCCTGTTCGCCTCCTCGTTGTCCGAGATCGACTTCTTAATCCTCAGAAGCTTAGCATCGCCTTCGCAATGATTTGATTAACCTCGTGCCTTCGAGAAGACCGCAGAAGAGCCTTCTCATGCTCGTGAAAGGACTGCAGAGACTCTTTTTCCACCTTTATCCTCTCGAGCTCCGCCTCGGCATATTTTGCCTGCTTCCTCGCCTCTTCAGCCTTCTTTGACAGATCATCCATCGCGGTGATCTGCGCTGCGATCTTCTTCTCAAGACCGAGAATCTTCTTGGACTCCTTCTTCATGCTGGGATAATCTTCGAGCTTCTTCAAAAGCCTCAGAGACCGACGTTCGTACTTTTCGATGATCAAGTTCCCATGTGTTATCATCTGTAAAAAAGATCGATAAGTAGAGGCAAAGTAGAAACAAGGATTGGAAAAGGCACAACATCAAGCTAACAGACGATACCTCCCTTACACTCCCCGTGAACAGCTGATACGCCTCTGTTTCGATCAAGTCATCGGGCTCAGGAAAGACGTGCTCCGTGCTGCAAGGGATCTTGGAGCATAGCTCATCGCATGCCTGCTGGATACTTGCAACCCGGTCTCCTCAGAACCCGTAGCAGCGACTTCGACAGAAGCAGTCTTCTGTGTCGATTCCACGACTTGCTGTTTCTTCTTCGAGCCTTCAGCAGCGGCCTTAGAAGGCCTCTTCTTCACGACCTCCTTCTCAGAAACCATTTTTGCGGCCTCAGCAGGAAGATCTGCCACGGGCTTTCCAGCCTTCTTCGCGGCGAGGGAAATTTCAGCGGCCTTCTCGGCCTGCGAAGAGACGCATTTAGACACTCCTTGAGTGCCAGCCGAAGGCCCGGTCTGTTCAGCATTTTCACCAGCCCCTCTGCCCGGGGCCGGACTCTCTTGGACGACGTTGGTGTAGTTTACCCTCTTGAACTTTACCTTAACCATTTCTCCCTCCTTCTTCTGACGGGGTTTTCTCGGCTTGATCGGAGGAAAGGAATACGGTCTAAGTGGAACGAGCTCGAGGGTATAACAACCTGTTGGAACAAAAATACCTGCCTCAGAAAACAGCCCGATTAAACCAAAAACTGCGAAAAGTGAAGGATTTAGCCTGGTTAAACCAAGTCAATTCCAACCTGCCGTAATCCGCTCTTGACACCTCTGAATTTTTTGTTCGAGAAATTCTAGCCAAATTTGAGGCTTCAGCTTTTTCAGAAGAGGAATCAACGTCTTCTCACCGGGCTTAGGAGCGGTCCCGATCGTTGGAACTGGGTAATCTGCAAACAAAGAAGAAAATTAGGTGTCAGCCTAAACAAGTAAACTCGCAAACACAGTGAGATGTTAAGCCTACTGATGATAATATTCCAACCAGCCCGGACTGGCCATCTCGAATTCTCAACGGAAGCCGCGTCGGTCTTCACAAAGAAATAGTTGAACTCCCAGTTACCGCATTTATCACTTCTGGAGTCTGGATTCAGCCACGAATACCCGGGGCCGGCCGATACATAGAAACTGCCTGAAGGTTTCCGCCACTTCAGTTGAGTCATCGCCTCAAAAGTATCGTAGTCACACTCCATTTCATGCTCAGTAGCAAGAAGCCTAGGTAAGCTGAGAAACAGCCATACCCCGCCGAGCAAAATACTCGATCAATATCCGGGGAAGCAGAAACCACAACCCGCTCACCGTGAAGAATGACTCGTACAAGCACATGCATCCCTCTGGAGGCGTCCAGGGGTGGTCATTCTCTCCAGGCACCAGGAATTCAACGGTCTTGGAAAGATTCCTAGCAGACTGCATCGCCTCCAATGACTCAAGGGACGACGTGTCTTCTGATCGTCAAAACGAACCAACTTTATGTGATGACCTAGGCCGGCCCCTGGGGATCCCGTCTGTCCGGGGTCGAGATCGATAAACCAAAAGAATTGGGATCCTCTTCGCCCTCTGTCCATGGCTGTATCGAGCCCCGGGAGGGAAGGATCCAACGACTTTAGGAGCCTTCGAAGTTTCGGTCTCGACAGGGCGATGACGACTAGGTCGCGGACCCTCGATCTTCCTCCATCAATGGTAAACCGTCAGAAAAAGATGTAGAAGACGAGCTGACCAAATTCCGATTAGGAGAATTTTTACCGGAAGAATCGATCTGAATTGGAGAGGACATCAACAAGATAAAACAGCGGTCTCTTTGAAGAAAGACCAGAAACGAGGTCGGACGGTGAATTCTTTGAAGATCGATCGGGAAATTTAAACTCAGATGACGGACTCGGAGCTCATGGGACAACAAAAAGCTACCTAACAAAAAACTAGAGAGAGAAGGAGAAAGAAAAAAATACATTTAGAGGGAGAAGCGAAAGAAGCGTAGTGAGGAGAAGTGAAATGATGGCTCCTTCTTTTATAGGCCCAGACCGGAAGATGAATCGTCGCACCTCGGGTGAAGCGTTAGGGCAGCAGAACAGACCAATCAAGAGTCGACTTCGAATTGGGCTTCATTTGTCGGGTCTGGAACGCAGAAACAGCGAGGCTCGGCCCATCTGAGTTCGCTGACTAGGGGGGCTACTGTTGGGCCTGGATCTGCGGCCAAAACGGTCTGCGGCCTGTGAACAGTGGAAGTCCAACTCAAACAGTAACCGTGGTCTGGTTAAACCTGAGTTAGATTCGGTAACTACAGTTAGCAAAACCTAGTATGTGCCCTCAACCTTGTACTATAAATAGAGGTACAGTGTCGTGTGACGATACATCTGCCATTCCTCTGAAAGAGAGTACAAGAGACCCAAAGCATCGCCATTTAGGTCTCTTACTCTGACAAAGAGCTCGCCAAGAGGTCACCACCGACCGAAAAACACCAAAAAACATTTACATATCTTTATTAGCTCGCAACAAACTGCGTAGCCCGGGATCTATCCGGTCTACTACGTTCT